GCAACAGCAGGCACAGAGCCAGGCATGTTAAAGGAGGGATCAGTTCAAGCCGCTCCAGCAGGGTGAGGTAATGGCATGGGAGATCCCAGCGCCTTGCAGGGGCAGGAGGAAACGGCATGGTGCCTGCTGCTCTCTCGGAGGGAGGGGGGATGAGGGAAAGGAGGGGAAAAGTGCAGATGGTGAGCCTGGATGTGCCTCTTACCTTCTTCCTTAAGGCAGGAACTTTCACCTCCAGTATCCCCATATGATTTGCACAGTCTACAGTGGGCAAACTGAGGAAGTATGTTGGCATTGGTCATGCCTTTTGCTCACAAGGCCATCTAGTACCACCTAAAGCTTTTGTATACCACAGACTTGTCTTTTAAGGAGTTCAGCCCCTGCCCAAACTTTGTTTTTTTATTCAGTCCCATGTGATGAGCTGAATCTTTGACTACGATTGTAGTTAGCACAGGAAATGTGATCTCTTACGCTGGTCACCATGGTGGTAGGATTTCAGTGGTAGGGTGTTTCCTCCAGAGAGAAAGAAAATCTTTAACGCAGCCGCAGCAGAGCTGTAACTGCGGACTTGCTGAGCTATCCTGAAATTTGATAAACCACAATTCCTCACAGTAAGTACCGTAAAATCTGCCCAAGAAGCTGAGCACTTGGTGCCTAGGCAGCATGGAGGTGTCTTCAACCCTGGCTTTATTGCTGGCACTTTGCAAATGAGTTACTTTAAAGCTAATTTAAAGCCATTTGATACCACTTACGAACTGCAGTTACAGAAGAGATTGCATTCTCTGTAAATACTGTCTTTCTCACTTTGGATGTGTCTACAAATATCTGTCAAGCATACCAACATTCTAAAGCTTAGAGGCTGGGACATAGGTCTTTTCTTGGAAAATAGTCTATAGAAAACCACAGATTTGAAGAAGTTGTGAGATTTTGCAAGGAGAAACCAAAATGAAGGATAAATTTAAAAGTGATTCTGCAAAAAATCCCAGCTAAAATACAAAAGTGTCATTTTTGGCTGCTAGGTCTTTTGAGGTCCCTTCCCCAATTAAGTATTGTCTCAACTAAGAATAAAAAGCTTTGCGTTTTCCTAAAGTTGAAACATTTTTAGAAAAAGGGCTATGAATTTAAAATGTTACTTTTGCTGAGACAGTCTAGAGAGAGAAGCCTTAATAAGCCTAACCTAAATGGGTCAAGAATGCCTAAAATTGTTCTTTCTGAAGAAGAGAAATCTTCTCGCACGAGACATATGGACTGGCAGTGTCAATATTCAGCTGTAGGGAGCTGGGCTGATTTAAGACTCCTGCAAACATGTTTCTCATAATTCATAAGAGAGATACAATGGGAAGTTGTTGGAATTGTCTATCAGGAACCCTGCAAGTCAGATGAAGTCCCTGAGGATGACTTCATTGCAGTTACAGCGCCAAGTCAGATGCAGCACTCATCTCCTACGGTATAGGACACAGTTATTCAAAACCCAACAGAATTAAACTCAAGTAATTAATTAACCTACACTGTGTATAATTCCCATTGTCATTGCCAGTCCAGGTGTGATGTATATTGTAGTACAATAGTATTATGTCCTTCATCTACAGGATATCTCTCAAGATTCCTCTCAATACCACAGAAGTTGATTATTTTTGGAATACAACTGCAGGACAGTGGCATTATTATCATATTCAGGGTAAACATTCCTTTGTCTTTGAAAGTTCCTGACATCTGACCTGCACGTTGTTTCATCCTGGTGTGCTTCAGACTTGCATGGTAGGCTTGGTAACTTCCATGTCATGGAAATGCCCAATCCATGTCAAATAAACAGCCACACACATTGGCAAAAGTCTAAGAGTCGGCAAAACTAAAGCATCTACAAAGCTCCTAAATAGCTGCTAGCTCCTTCCTCCCGTCATCCTACACAAGCTCTCTCCCACCCCATGACCATATGCAAGACCAAATTCTTAAGGAAAATTTCAGGTAGATAGTGAATTTGTCTTTGTAATGGGAAGCAGGACACCTTTCCACGCAAAAAAATATGGACGCCTCCACTCTTCCAGGTATTTGCTCTCTTCCTTCTCTAGCCACATGCACCACCTGCTCTACACATATTCAGTAAATTTTCCACTCCATTCCCTGTAGCCCACAATATTTTATGCATACTATTAGCTTAAATTTGGATCATCTTCCCACCTCAAACCCAACTGGACAGAGTATATTTCTGCTTGAAATTTAGGCACAGAGCTGGCGTGTAAAAACAGCTAGTCTTAGAAGCTCGGCCTTCTCAGCTTTGGGGTGTGTGCACCACCGCCTCTTCCCTTTGTAAGGAGCCAACTAATCCCAGAATGGCTAACACAATGTAAGCTTAGTTTATGAGTCTCACTGGAACCAAAGATTTGGCATAAGAACTTGGCCTGAGGAATCCACTAAAAACTTGGCCCTTGAGGAGCCAGTACTGTTCTGCTTGTCCTGGGCATCTCAAAGGAAGAGTGGAACAATTGCTGCCTGCGATTAACAATTCCATTGCTGTGTCCTGCCTCTTCCTCAGAAAGAACATCATCATTTCCTGGTATATCATGGCAAGAAAACATGCTATTTATGCTTTGTGTAAGTGATGGAGCTGGGGGAGAGAGAAGAATGAAATCACTCCTCAGATTTAATTGTTTTTTGGCTAGAGGAGCTCTTTAAGCAGTTTCATTTGAAAAAGCTTGGCCAAAAAGAAGTAGTAAATGTCCAACTGACAGGGTTCATTAACGGCATGCTACACTCACTTATTTTAGCTTTTTCCGAAAGACAGAATGGATGGATGGATGGATGGATGGATGGATGGATGGATGGATGGATGCCTCATCTTTGAAAAGGGTTTCATTCTCAAAATTTAAAACGGTGATCCCAGAGAGATTAATATTATGCCTTTCCATTGTAATGTGACAAATGAGTGTTCATCCACGCTGTTGACTTCTACCTGTGCCAACAGTTTACTGCAGGGATAGCGACTGAGCACTGTTCTTGATAGCAAGGTCAAGGTAGCGAAGTCAGCAATGTGGCACAGGACAGAAAGAAGCCCTGCACATTATACAACATTTTACATAGATCCTACTGAAAGCTTCAGCTGACTAGAAAATAAAATCCTTTATCTGATATTTAAGTTAAATGTTCTTTATAAAGTGCCTATCATGATCCTTGAACAGTTCCTTGGTCTTTGGCAAAATACAAATTTCATGAAGCAAGGACAGCAGAGAGCTGAAATTTCAATTATCTATTTTTGGGCATCCAAATCAAGACTGAGGGACTTCGTGTATTCTGGAAATTATTCTGCTTAAAGAGTTGAAGCTTGAGCATCAAGCCTCAAACCATGCCAAACCTCTTGTCAGTTTGGAAAACCTTGTCCTTCATGTCCCAGTCATTGCTGAACATATTGCTGACATTCGGCAGTCAGGGCTATTGCTGTCAAGTGAAGTGAGACAGACGGAGTATACAGGTTGCCAGCCATTTTTTTGCTTAAGGGATAGATTAAATAAATTGCTATAACCGTGATAGAGCTGAAATACTTATCTTTCTCCTCCCTGTGTTGCTAGAACTGTGCATGGTGTTTGAGACAGCCATGGGAGTTAGGGCAGAGGGCTATACTGGCTTTGAAAAGAAGTACCTGACTGGTACAGAAACGTCCTATTTTGATACAGAAAACGTCCTATTCTGGCCATTAGAAACCATAGCAGAGGGGAACTTCATGCACGACAACAGTAATTTTTGGAAATGTAAGTCATGCAACTGGGTGGCATGAGTCATGTTCAAAACCCTTCCCTGGTGATGAAACCCCTGCCAGTTTCCTATAGTTCATTTTACATTAAACTATAACATTGCAGAGAGACATGCTTAGTTTTGAGTATGCAGCCTAGTCATTTCCTTGAAAAAATCAGCAGCTAGTCACACCAGTTTGATATGCTTTGCAACACTGGCAACGACTGTAGGCAGCCTCTTTTTAAAAATAAATTTTGTAAAAGAATTTGCCAATTTCTTAAGACCATAGCTAGTCAAGGACATTACTTACAAGGGGAGACTTCAATGCCTGGACATTTAGATGTTCTGCAGCCCAGTGGTATTCAAAAACCGGAATCAGCTTCTCTCAGGCAGCATGCAGGCAGATGTATTCTCTGGGTTCAGAAAAATCAGCTCTTCCCTGGATGTATTGGCTGTTCTTGGGGGCTCCTCATTACACTTAGCTCCCAGCAAAAGGGAGGGATGGGCCCCAGCTGAAGATTTACAGCCAGAATCTGTGTTTTGGAAACAGGAACCTTTCTGTTTTCAAAACCATAGCAGTCTTAGTCTCTTCAGACCCTGGCTGAAGGAGGAAATGCTCTTTCAGACTAAAAGTTACAGCACTCACTCAACAGGCCACCACACTTGCTGTGGCTGAGCATCACGGAGAGTCCCTGATCAGTGGGCTGTAGGACATTAAGAGTCTTTCATATTCTCATGTCAAAGCAGGTCCCTTTTGCCTGGAGTTTGCTTAATATTCATGGAGCAGGGGAGGTGTGAAGGAATGCCTCTACAGCCCCACGCATGCCAGGGCTTAAGGTGGCTGTATGGTACTGACAATAAAAGTGATTGCATTTGCACAGCAGAATGTTTTTCCCGGGTATTTAATTTTTATGGGTTATTTTATTTAAGTGCACAAATCTGATTAATGAAAGTATTCACATCTGTTTAGTTGAGGTCTATAATAACTGGAAACCACATTCAATATTTGGACTAAATTTCTCAGTTTCTTACTGTTTAAATAAAATGGCAAAACAAAAAACCATGAATGCCATTCTTTTCAGTGATGTCTTCAGACTGACAGATTATTTGTGCAAGAAGGTCAGAGAAATTCTGGCTGTTATGAGGACTTTTTCATTTTTAGCGTAACAGATTTTCAGTATAAAGCCATTCTGGCATCTGTAGCCTCTCCCTGTGCACGCCCATTTTCCCTGTTAATGAAAGCTACACAACAATCCAATATTTTTTGCTACACTTACAGGGCCTGATTCCATATTTCATTCTTGGCAGTGAAACAATACATCAGTTCTCTGGCAAAAAGCAAAAAAAAAAGTTCAAAATAAAATTTGCAGTGTGAACCAAAAGGCTCACAATAAAAATACCTATTTCCACTTTTAAGAGTGCCATTGCCTTACCTCTGATCAATGTCTGTGGAGGTAAGCGACATCGTAAGCTGACCAGGCAGCTGCCTGACTGCGTACAGGAATTGCAAATGAAGGCATCGCAGTAAACGCCAGGGATGACAGCTAACAGTTGTCTATGAATAATGCCCAGTGTGGTGCCGAGTGATGCTGTTAGCTGCCTGCCCTTCACGTAAGAATTGGTCAAGATCCTGACCAGCCACGGTTTCCGAGAGTCCCATTGCACTTTCCTGAAAATTAGGCTGATTACTGTGGTTTCATTTCAATTCCGAGAGGTACACTCTCCATGATTTTTATGGCTACAGAGAGAGTCTTTCCTGATAAGTACTGTGGAGATCTTTTCACATTTCAAGAGACCAGTTCTTGTTCCCCTTTGGGGTTTGGGATGCAAATGTGAGTTAAATTTATTACAGCCCTGTAAAAAACTTAGAGCTTCCTCTGTTTATGCATCTGTCTAAGTGCCAACCAGCAAAAGGCACTTAAATGTTTATTGTAGTCCTGAAAACTGACAATATCCAAACATTTCTAGGAAAATTTCATAGTGAGAAACAGCAATGAAGCAGGTGGCCAAGAGTACATATGGCAGTGGTGACACAAACATATGGAAATCATGCTTGAAACATGGTGGTGGAGGGGGTCATCTTTATTTACTAAAACAAACACCTCCTTGGATTTTAGGGGCAAAGCAGTTTCTGAATGAAGGATGGCTGTTGCATGAGTGTGCCAGTAAAGGTTTTGTGGGGTACAAATAAGTTGTGCTCTGTAAAGAAAACCAGACTGGGCACAGCATGCCTTTAAAAAACCACCAAACTGCTAAAACTATCAGTACTTCTGAGTAAAGCGTCTCTAATCCGTGAGGCTGTTGGTTATGTGCTGCATTACTTTTTTGCCTGCTTATAGAGGGACGGTACTTTTGTGCCAGGGCTCACAAAGGCTTACAGCTCAAACTTGATGGCTTAAATAAAGAGCTCTCGGAGGGCCAGGCTGCACAACAGCGTCCGGGCTGGGCTCGGGTACCCTTAACCTC